CTCAATCCAATAGAACATCTTTGGAGGGAGCTTAAACGCCGCGTTGCTCAGCGACAGCCCCGAAACCTGACAGATCTAGAGGAGATCTGTGTGGAGGAGTGGGCCAAAATCCCTGTTGCAGTGTGTGCAAACCTGGTCAAGAACTACAGGAAACGTTTGACCTCTGTAATTGCAAACAAAGGTTTCTGTACCAAATATTAACACTGATTTTCTCAGGTGTTCAAATACTTATGTTCAGCAGTGCAAGACAAATAAATTCTTTAAAAATCATACAACGTGATTTCCTGAAAATGTTTTTTAAATTCTGTCTCTCAGAGTGGGAATGCACCTACAATGTGAATTTCAGACCCCTCCATGATTTCTAAATGGGAGAACCTGCAAAATACTTCTGTTCCTCACTGTATGTTGACAAATGTAGCTTTATTTAAAATGTGAGAGTTAAACATTTAGGTCTAGCTTCAGTGTGGGATTTATTTCTATATAAAAGAACAAAGGTCATACTTGGCTGTTCGTTTGCCTGCTTTTCTTGTTTTAGAAACACCTGCTACTTTCTTCATGTGATCTTCAGAAGGAATTTCATCCTGGAAAAAAGAAAAAAAGATATTAAAAAAAAAAATTCTTTTTCACTAAATACTCATTTATTGTCCATCCATCAATCGTCTTCCGCTTATCCGGAACCAGGTCGTGGGGGCAGCAGTCTAAGCAGAGATGCCCAGACTTCCTTCCTCCAGCTCCTCCTGGGGAATGCCTGCCGAGGCGTTCCCAGGTCAGCCGAACGACACAGTCCCTGCAGCGTGTCCTAGGTCTTCCCCAAGGCCTCCTCCCGGTGGCACATGCCCTGAACACCTCCCCTAGGAAGGTGCCCAGGAGGTATCCGAAACAGATGCCCGAGCCACCTCAGCTCATTTACCGTAAAATCTGGACTATAAGCCACTACTTTTTTCACAAGCAACCGGCGGTGCGGCTTAAACAACGATGCGGCAAATTTATGGATTTTTACAGACTAACGAGCTTCGTGCCGCCAATACATTTAGCCTTGTCACAGTGGACCAATAAAACTGTTCGATACCGAACAGTTCACAGTGGACCAATGAAACTGTTCGAATTAAATCAAATGCACTCACACTAAATTCTTCAGAGCAGTCATTTTGCGCTTCATGCGCACACCCTCATCATGGAAAATGCACGAAGAAATGCATATGATGCAGCTTTCAAGTTAAAGGCGATCGATCTGGCTGTTGAAGAAGGAAATAGAGCTGCTGCACGTAAGCTTGGCATCATTGAATCGATGGTGAGACGATTTTGTTACAGGCACCGTTCAGAAAAAGCATTTATTTAATTAAAAGTTAAAAAAAATCTGTGTAACATCTTTCTGTGTAAATATCTCATGTTACAATGTGGACACCTGCGGCTTATAAACAAGTGCAGCCTATATATGTACAAATTTTTTTTCTTCTTAAATTTAGTGGGTGCGGCTTATAGTCAGGTGCGCTCAATAGTCCGGATTTTACGGTA